CTCTTTATTCTGCTTCCCTAGCTGTAATTTAACCAGTGGATCTGCTAGGGTAAACTTCCCAAATTCCCATCTTTCATTTTTGCAACCAGAGGCGGTTCCCTCTTTCTCAGTAATTCACACATTACTTTTATTGCAGTGGGGCGGAGCCCTCCCTGGGCTCTTCCAGCCCCCCCTCTCTGTGGATCCCTGGGTCCTATGCCCTACTCTAGTGCTGCGACAGCAACAGCTGCTGTTATTCCCAATTTGCTTACTATCTCTGTTTCTCAATCAGTTTTTGTTTGTTTGTTTTTCCTTCATATCGCTCACCTCTACATCCCTGTCACACCCTGCTCATCCTTGCCTTCCTCAGCCTGTGTCCATCCCAAACTTTTCACTTTCCAAACTCTCATCATTACATAAACTACTACCATCATATTTCAGTTTTACCTCCTCCTCTCCAGAGGCTTTCAGTGCTAACACTGGGATTTCGGGTTTCCCAGACCTCTACAGAGGCTATTCTCACTTCCCCCTTTACAAACAACAGCAGTCTCCGTCCGGGCTCTCTCTCTCACACCAAGTACTGCTCGCCGGGGAACGGTGCAGGGGTTGCTCTCATGCCAGCAAGGATTAACTCTCTTTAACCCTTTTTCCTTTGTTCCACTCTTAGTACCCTCATTTACACTTGCAGTTACACTCAATTCTATACCATTAACAATTACACTTTCTTATATCATCAAAACAGTTTGTCTCATTCCCTTCTAAATGCACAAATCTAACCATATAGTTCTTCAGTTTCCATAAATACCCTTAATACCATATAACTTTCCCTTAACCATCTGTGTCATTTGGTTATAAACACCTCACCACAGCAACAGCACTGATTGACCCACCTCCCTCACACATTCCCTTGCAAACGGAACACAATATTACATAAATGAGTTGATATTCATTCCCCATTCATACACTAGAGGATCTTGTGGTGCCCCATCCCACATTCTCTTTGCCATTCAGGATGATTCCTGAGGGTAAAGAACATATCAGCGTATGCTTCTTCATCCCATTTACCTTCCTGTTTTAAAAATAGCATTGGTTGCAGAATGGTATTGTAGTTCAACGTCCCATTTAGGGGCCACTTTTCCCATCTTCCAATTTATACATTAACCATCATTGATTACAATATTTTATCAGAGTTTTCTTACTTAGAGTGCCCCCAGATCCCCCTGCAGTATCTCGCCAATGTGCCAGAATACATCTGAGGGGTGTTCTTTTAGGTATTTCCTTTCCCTGTGACCCTCCCATCACATGGTTTCGTTGTTTTACCAGTTTACTAACGTTTTCACAGATTACTTCTTTTACCCTAAAGTTTCCCAAAAACAATCCCCAGAACTTGTTCCACCACT